ACAACTTTTGTGAGAGGGATGTCCCCATGACGAGGCCTAAACCGGCAGACATCCTCTGAGGGGTCCCGGATTGGAGAGTGCAGGCTGGGCTGAGGGGACACCCTCTTATACAAGAATTTCGGGCACCGGCTTCTAGTCCCAGGTCCTGGGTGCCTGCCGGCAGCGGCAGCCAGAGGGAAGCCTGGGTGCCAGAGGGAAGCTGGTGCTGGCAGTTGGGAAAGAAGGCCTACTCTTGCACGAATTACAGGCATAGGCCTCTAGTCTAAAATAAAGTTAATATCCTTTTAATCTCACAGGAAATACATATATGGCACTTTGAAGCTTTTACTTTCCATATATTTCCATATACTCTTTTCCATCCCTTCCCCCAACTCCCTATTTTTGAGAGTTGCATGATGTTTACATAGTTAGAACATACAATGAATTGTATACTAGTCTGTCACCTTTATACCCATCATTTGTTATTAGTCCTGCAAGTAACATTTTTAATGTTTACCATAATTCTTTATGTCAAAGTTTCTCTAGTCATTTATTGGTAATTTGGAGCTCATTCTTTTTTTTTTTTAATATATTTTATTGATTTTGTACAGAGAGGAAGGGAGATAGAGAGTTAGAAACATCGATGAGAGAGAGTCATCGATCAGCTGTCCCTTGCACACCCCCTACTGGGGATATGCCCGCAACCAAGGCACATGCCCTTGACCGGAATCGAACCCAGGACCCTTCAATCCCCAAGCCTACGCTCTATCCATTGAACCAAACCGGTCTCGGCTGGAGCTCATTCTTTAGTAGAAGGGTTCATGGGAACATATTCCATGAGTACTTGCATGTTTAATACCAGTCTTTATAACTTTTATTTTTAAAGATAAACTTAATTTGATATAAAATCCTACAGTCATCTTTTTTTCTTGTGTACCTTAAGTATGTTGTTCTGTTGTCTTCTGATTTCAGTCTGATTTTCTTTCCCTTCTATTAAAGACTTGGTAATTTTGCCTGGATGCCCAAAGAATGTTTTTCCTTTAATGGCCAATAACTTTACCAGACTATACAGGGTGGGGCAAAAGTAGGTTTACAGTTGTTCATATAGAAAATAATAAAATTAATAAATAATATTATAAAACTAAACTCTGTCTTATAACTGTAAACCAACTTTTGCCCTACCATGTACCTAAGTGATTTTTCTAAGCAAATTTTCTAGTTAAATAGTTCTCTTTACTAGAAAAGTTCACTTTTATTTCTAAAAAATTTTTTTCAAGTAATAGTTTATAATGTATCTTTTGTTCCACTGTTTTGTCTTTCTTCTTAGGGATGCCTGCTATTTATTTGTTGGCTCTTCTTTGCCTCTGCATCTCTCACTTTCTCTTGAAACCATTTTTTAAAAATATTTCTTCATTCTCTTGGGTTGTTCTGGCTGGCTGTGTGTGTGTGTGTGTGTGTGTGTGTGTGTGTGTGTGAGAGAGAGAGAGAGAGAGAGAGAGAGAGAGAGAGAGAGAGAGAGAAATATCTGTATGAGAGAGAAACATCTATTAGTTGCCTCCTGTATGTGCCCAGACTAGGAATCAAACCTGCAACCAGCCGAAACCAGTTTAGCTCAGTGGATAGAGCGTTGGTCTGCAGATGAAAGGTCCGAGGTTCGATTCCACTCAAGGTCATGTACATTGGTTGCGGGCACATCCCTGTAGGGAGTGTGCAGGAGGCAGCTGGTCGATGTTTCTCTCTCATTGACGTTTCTAGCTCTTTATCCTTCTCCCTTCCTCTATGTAAAAAATCAATAAAATAAAATAAAAATAAATAAATAAATAAATAACCCTGCAACCTTTTTGGTGTACAGGGCAAGGCTCCAACCAACTGAGCCACCTGGCCACTTGGCTGGGGCCTGTTGAATTGTTCTTAGTTTTTCTTTTTCTATCTTATTTTTCTTTTTTTCCATTATGTTAGCTGTAAGGCAGACTGACAGTGAATATTTCATTTTTCTAGCTTCAGTAGTAGAAACAAGCAAGGGGAAGGGAATGGGTGTTAGGTTAGCTTGCTACAGGGTAGAATCATTGGAGGTAAGAATTTGTCTTGAATAAAATGAAAAATGATATATTTTTAATGATAATAGGATGGATAATTAGCAACATCAGCTATTTTCAATATAGTCCCTGGGAGGTAGAGGGGAACCCTGCTATATATGTGGGAGGTAGATATTCAGATTATCTTGTGTGTTTTTTATTTTTCCAGGACTTATTTTTTAAAGGTCATTTAAGGTGTTTTATTATAATTATAAAAGACAAGAAAAATACATTATATTCTAAACTATTTGTGACACTTTAAGCAATAGTCTGCCTCATTAAGTGAGCTGATTTATAGATTTGTCAATATATTGTTGCTACATCATTACTTGTCTTTTTTTAGAGTGGAATATTAAAAATGCCCTGATGAATGGGATTATGGAGAGTTGCAGCACTGAAGAAATTTGTTCAAGAAAAGTTTCTTTCCTTGTTGTTAATGTACTTTGAATCAATTCACCAAAAATTTTTGTTTTGTACTAAAAGTTTACATTTTACATATAACTTATTAAATCTTTGATGCTAGAAATTAATTTGTCAGGATGGAAAACAAACATTAAATTTAATTATGAGAGAATAAGCACAAATAATTTCAAAACCTTTCAAATTTCTGTTCCTCTAGTCCTTCTCATGAATTTCCTAAAAATGTACTAATTTTCCATTTACTAGTATCTCTTTACGGTTTCACACTAATGGAAATGCTAATGAGCAATGGAAGAATGAAATAAACAAAAAGGACAAAAGAAATGTCATTTTAGTAGTTGGAGATTAGTCATGTCTTATAGTATTTCATGATTATTAATGAGCAACAGTTTTCCCCCCCAAGTATTATTGCTTTATAATTATTGAGGCCAAGAGTAATTTTCTGCTCTGGCTTGTGTGGTGCAGTTGGTTGAGCGTAGTCCCATGCTGGTTGGATTCCCAGTCATGTCACAGTTGTGGGCTCGATATACAGTAGGTGGCATACAGGATGCAGTTTATCAATTGATGTTTCTCAAATGAATAAAAAAAATACTCTAAAATTTAAAGGTAATTTTCTGTATACCTTTTAGATCAGGGTGAACCTTTTTTTCTGCCAAAAGTCATTCGGATCATTCGAGGACTATACAAAATTATGAGCTTAAAAATTAGCTTGCTGCCGAAACCGGTTTGGCTCAATGGATAGAGCGTCCGGCTTGGGGACTGAAGAGACGCGGGTTTGATTCCAGTCAAGGGCATGTACCTTGGTTGCGGGCATATCCCCAGTAGGGGGTGTACAAGAAGCAGCTGATAGATGACTCTCTCTCATCGATGTTTCTAGCTCTCTCTCTCTCTCTCCCTTCCTCTCTGTACAAAATCAATAAAGTATATATATTAAAAAAAAAAATTAGCTTGCTATATTTGGTCAGACATTTAATTACCTCACCCCTAATGCCTCGGCAGGGCCAGACCAAATGATTCTGTGAGCCAGATGTTCCCCACTCCTGTGTTAGATAATTAGGGAGGCTTTGGCTGCTGTATTGGCCTGGAATATAGGCAGATTGTGCATTATTTTTCATTATTTTTTATCACTTCTTTAGTGGCACAGAAATGTGGCCTAAATGTTTATTGGATGACTATTTTTACTTTGGGATCAAATCTTTTTTTTTTTTTTTTTTTAGGGTGCTGGATTGATAGGTAGTTTAATAGCTAATAAATTGAGGCACATTTTGGACTATACTTTCATAGCTGTTAGATTACAATAACAAAAACTTCAGTGTATTTTCCTTTCTTTTGAACGATAAAGTAGGTGTAATGGAGGCAAGTTGACTGAATAGAAGCAAGTATTTTTTGATTTGTGACAGCAAGTGAACATTTGCTATTACTTTTTAGAAATTTTATATTTTTATTGATTTCAGAGAGAAAATTTGAAGGGAGACATAGAAACATCAATTCTCAAGGGAGACATGAGAATCATTGAGTGGCTGCTCCCCCCCACCCTCAACCTCTCCACTAGGGACCAAGTCTGCAACCCAGGCATGTGCCCTGACCAGGAATTGAACCGTGACCTCCTGTTTCATAGGTCAATGCTCAACCACTGAGCCACACTGTTCGGACTTGCTGTTACTTTTAAGATCCTGGCACTTTTTAAGTAGAAGGCCTGCTGTAACTTCTAGTTTATTCGCTGTGGTGGACAGGCATTCCTTCCCGAGCTCTGTATATAATTTGGTTCATTATTTCCCAAGTGTGGACAAGGTATGCTGGTTTCAATTTAACTCTTCCCCCTATTATAGTTTTAAATAAAGATCTGAGGATTTTTTATTTTACTTTATTGTTATTTATACACTGCTCCCTTACAATCCTCTTTATTCTTATCTGGGTGGATTCTTCTGTACTTAACAAACTCGAGATTAAATTGAGGTAGTTTAGTGGTCCACTGGAGAAAGAATATTTTCTGTGACTATGGACTGCAAAACAGTCTTTTTTTTTTTTTTAATATTTTTTATTTATTTTGTACAGAGAGGAAGGGGGAGAGATAGAGAGTTAGAAACATCGATGAGAGAGGGTCATCGATCAGCTGCCTCTTGCACAACCCCCACTGGGGATATGCCCGCAACCAAGGTATATGCCCCTGACCGGAATTGAACCTGGGACTCCTCAGTCCCCAAGCCGACGCTCTATCCATTCAGCCAAACTGGTCTTGGCCAAAGTAGTCTTCTTAATTAAATATTTAATAGGGACCATGTAATCTAAAATTTCAATGACTGATATAAAGCTATTGCAATTACAAAGCTATTACAATTCTCAAAATTTATGACTTATGAGACCAAATTGTGTATATTTAGTTTTTAAAAACTATTACAACTTATTTTCTAATGAGATCCCAAATTTCCCTACTTGTTGGTAAGGGAGGTGTGTTTTTGGTATAACATTAACTTAGCGTAGTATTTTTTGGGATCATCTTAACTTTTATTTGATTTTCTCTCATAGTTGGTGTATGAATTCTTCTTAAGATTTTTGGAAAGCCCTGATTTCCAGCCTAGCATTGCAAAGCGATACATTGATCAGAAATTTGTACAACAGGTAAGGCATTCTTATGTCTTAAATTTTCTTATGTTCACTTTAGCAATGATTTATTAAGTTGTGATTAAAATGAAATAGTCTTTCAAAATATTTTAATATTTCAATTTAACAGTACTTACTGTTCTTGCAAATTAAGATAAAAATTATTTAGCTTTGAGAATGCAAGAGTATTTTAAAAAGAAAGTATTAACTTCTAATGAAATCAATCAAATTAGCCAATCCAATCCTAGATTCCCAGTTATTTTGTAAAGATCAGAAAAGCCTTTCTGTGATATCTAACAGAAAATTTGATATGATAGTTGTACACCTTTTTAATTTTAAGCCTTTGAACTGAACTTGACATATTTTAAGCATTGTGCTGTTGAAATGACAGAGGGAAATGGAAATGGGATCATTTTTAGCAGTTGGGCTATTAGAATACTTTCCTATCATAAAGCATCAATAACCTTTCCCTGTTCCTGTCCCCCTTCCCTCCTTAGGCATACTAGCCATCCAATTCCTAAATCACAGATAAAATAGGACCTTTAAGAAGAAAAGGAGATAAAGTTAAACATATTGATCCATTCTTTCTTTTTATAAATTGGTTATTGTTATTTTTGGGATCTATATACTCAAAATTAATTTCTCAAAATGTGTTCATTTTTATTTTCAAAATCTTTTAAACAATATAAATAACTCTTTTTAACTGTAAATTTGGCTGGCCCTAGACAAAATTGTGAAGTAGACCAATATTTTCTCTTTTGAAATACTTGTAGGTATGTAAGTATTATTAGAATTTGAGAGTTATTTGCATTTTAAAGAAAGATAAGATAAAAGGGGATCAATGAACTCCCTACTGAGGCTAGGATTAAAATTATTACAAGAACCCTTCCTACCCTTTCCCACCATGTGTATTCCCTATGATAAAAGATTCCATAAACATGAGTTACACATATTTGGAGTTCATTTTTGGTTATTTATAACTATCCCTGACCCTCATATAAAGTATTCTAACTAATTGCTGTGAAAATATAAATATATGCCTAAGCGACTGCACACTGAAAACCCAGGGGCAAACTCTCAACATAGGAGCTGCCGCCTGGTGTCGTGCACTTCCACGGCAGGAGTACGCTCAGCTGACTAAAGGGCACCAGATTCCAGGATCATGGCTGGCAAGGGCAGCTAGGGCTTCCAGAGCCTCTTCCGCCTCTGTGGCAGGATTACCAAGCAGCGGGCGGTGGCAGGCACAGCAGGGCTGGGATGAACAGGACCACCTGGCCCAGCCTTGGACTCCTCCCTGGCCGCCTGCCACTTCACACACATACTACATCCCTCAGGAGATGTCAGACTGCCAGTTTCAGCCTGATCCCCGCAGTTTGGGCTGGCGTGCGATGATCAGGCCAATACTGGCAGTCCAACATCCCCCGAGGGGTCCCGGGTTGCAAGAGGGTGCAGGTCAGGATGAGGGACCCCATGGGTACACGAATGCTTCTAGTATGGTATAAGGAATTCTATTAAATTGTATTTAAAATAGCAGGTTGAGAGGAACAAATGCCTTAGTGTTTCCTCAGTGTAGAGCTTGAGGCATTTCAGTTGCTAGATTATTCAGAAGATTTTAAGGGGAACAAGAATAAAAATAAAAACTGGCATAGAGGGACCCATTTCCCATCTTTACTCTAAATGCCTGAATTAGCTGAGAAGCCAAGGCCCAGTCATTTTTCTAGCAGTTTGTATGATTGCTTTCACAGATAACTTCACGGAGGTATTCCTAGTGTATGGTTTTATTGCATAGCGTGTATGGGGATTCTCTGCTTCTATTATAGATTTTGAAATTATTTGATTAGGTAATAAATATTAAGTCTTAGAGTCTGAGGTATAAATTTGGACAATTCATTTCTTCAAAAGAAGAAAATAATTGTATAGTTTCAGGTTATGTTCAAATCATAGTTTCAGAAGGAAGGTAGGTAAGAATTATTGAGTACATTTTATGTGCCAAGCACTGTCCATATATATAAAGAGCTTGACCATGTCCAGTTTTAGTCAGTAGATGGCACAATCAGGATTTGAACTTACACTCTCTGACCTCTGACTTTTTCTTTAAAAAAGCCGAAACAAAAAAGAATTGGTTTCAATCCTCATTTTATCAATGAAGAAATAGGCTTATGGGTTGTAAGTTAGTCTTAAAAGTACAATTAGATAAAAGTATCAGTGTCAGAATAAGAAAGTTTCCTGAATACTATTTTATATGTGTTTCATTGTGTTACTATTATATTCAATAAATTTGTGTAGGTTATATTTCAAAATAGGTTTCTTTAAATAGGTTTGACACTTTGCTAACAACTGTTCTCTAGTTAAATATTTTCCCCAAGGATAAACTTGAACTAGACATGACCACCTTAATTAAGGGCCACTGTTATTAATTTGAAAGCGTATCTTCCAAGTAACTCATCATCAAAAACTTGTATATTCGTGTTTTGAGTGTGTTAAGTGATTAGTTATTTTTAATTAGAATAATTTGAATTGAACTTATTAGGAACATTAACACAAATTCTCATGTTCCAAAGATGGTTTTATTGAAGCCTCATACAGTACTTTCATAAACTCATGCACAAAGCAAGACACTTGTTTAGGAGAATATAAATATGACAAAAGGCATCACTATCCTCAAAAAATATTAACTCCAGTAGAAGAGATACATATGTACACACTTACATGTAATTCAAGATAGAATGGAAAAAGAACTTCCAATGATGTTCAGAGATTATGATCTTAACTGTAATTATCAATACCAAAGTACAGAACATAAAATTTCTTCACAACTTCATTCAAGAGAGATTATAATTTTCCTAAGCAACACCAGTTTCATTTAAAATATAGTAATATATTTTTTGGCATAAGAAATTCAGTTTCTGTACCACTTTAAAAATGTGAGCTTTTGACTTTTTTTGAAGATCTCTTCTTATCTTTGCTAAAGAATTGTGTAAAGGTATAGGAAATTGATGATTTGACCAATTTTTAAAAAAATATATTTTATTGATTTTGTACAGAGAGGAAGGGAGAAAGATAAGAGAGTTAGAAACATCGATGAGAGAGAGTCATCGATCAGCTGCCTCCTGCATACCCCTACTGGAATGGGCATGTACCTGCAACCAAGGTACATGCCCTTGACTGGAATCAACCCCGGGACCTTTCAGTCTCCAGGCTGACGCTCTATCCATTGAGCCAAACCGGTTTTGGCTGATGATTTGACCAATTTGAACTGGCTTAAACTTTTCCAGCCATTCTAGAGAGAGAAGGAGAGAGTGAAACATCGAGGTAAGAAAGAAACATCAATTGGTTGCCTCCCGAATACACTCTGGGTATGTGCCCTGACCCAGAATCAAACCCATCACCTTTTTTGGTGTTTGGGATGATGCTCTAATCAACAGAGCCACCTGGTCAGGGCTGCTTAGCTGACTTTAAATAAAAATCTGTGGTCTTTTATTTTAATGTTATTTCACGAAAGATCTCCACACTGTTAACATGTATCTTCAATAATTTATCCTATTAACTAAATACTAATTTTTTAAAAATAAATTTTTATTGTTCAGATTATTACAATTGTTTCTCCTTTTCCTCCCTCCTCCCATAGCTCCCCTCCACCTGGTCCCCACTCCACCCTCTGCCCTTACCTCCTCTTTCTCGGCTCCCCCCCCATCCATAGATACATTATTTTTGTCTCTTCCTATACCCCCCACACAGACTGAGGATTACCAATCCCCTCCCATTCTATGCCCCTGATTCTATTATATTCACCAGTTTAAAAATAAATAAATAAAAATTATGAACAACAAATACATATCTATCAACAAGTAAATCTAAAAGTCAAGTGAATTAAAAATCTGAGGAACAGAATAAATACTAATTTTTGAGCTGTTGGCATGGTGACTCAAATTTTTTTTTTTTATTGTAAAATCACACACAAAAAAAGTCTTGGTTTGTGTGAATCTTTTTAGTAAATTGGAAATACACATGTGCACATGTATTTTAACTTCATTTATTTAATGACTTGCAGTCTATAAGCTTTAGGATTTTTGCATGTAATTTTGACTTATTATCAAAAAGCATTAAAAACTCTTAAATTTCAACACTGTAATGGGCCATGTTTATAGTCAAGAGTGGGATAGAATTTTAAAATGAGTGGCAGGGCAAAAAAGGTATTCTTTTTGAAATGAAATAAATGAAGAGAAATTCTCTCTAAGCTTTTCTTTATCTTCACTAGTTAGCAAGACTAAAACCAATATAAGGCAGCATCTTTAAATTTAAAAAGAAAGTTTCATGGGTTATCTAAAATCAGTATTAGAATAAAGTGAAGTTTTAGCTTGATTATTTTTAAAAAGTAATTTCTCAGCTTTTTTTTAAAGCTCCTGGAACTTTTTGATAGTGAAGATCCCAGAGAACGTGATTTCCTGAAGACTGTTCTGCACAGAATTTATGGGAAATTTCTTGGATTAAGAGCATTCATCAGAAAACAAATTAACAACATTTTCCTCAGGTAAACTGGTCATCTATTCATATATAATGCTCTTTACCCCCCTTTATATTTTCTTTTTAACTTTTAACATCTGAAATTTGGAAATTTAACGAGTCATTTTTAGCACATTTTGTGGACATTTGCTTGCCTCTAACTTTGTAGAAATGTATAACCTACTTTTCATTTATGTAGATAACAATAATGAAGTTTTTAATAAATAATACTGTTATTCACGTGTAAGATTTATTGTGAGGAGAATTTGTCTAGTTATTTCCTTGAGTTTTTTTGTTTGAAAATTTTGTAAGAACTATTTAAATCAGTAGCTCTTAGAAGTACTTTCATTTGATTTTCTGATAAAGGTAGTTAAATTTATATGTGATAAATCTTTTAGCTACTTTATAAGTGATAGTCTATTTAGTTGCCTCACAGTAGGAGATTTTGCTTTAATACCCACACTTAGGTTTGGTATGTTTGTTTTAAATGGAAGATCTGGCAAAATTAGGCTGGCTAGATTTTCAAATCGTAATGGCTACAAAAAGAGCATCTCTCTCTCCAGTTTTGTGTCATCCTCCCCTTGTCTTGTGTTTCTTTGAATTTTCCTCCCTGCTTTAAGGGTGATTTTTAAAAATATATATTTTATTGATTTTTGTACAGATAGAGATAGAGAGTTAGAAACATCGATGAGAGAGTTTCATCGATCAGCTGCCTCTTGCACACCCCCTACTGGGGATATGCCCGCAACCAAGGTACATGCCCTTGACTGGAATCGAACCCGGGACCCTTAGTCCCCAAGACAACGCTCTATCCATTGAGCCAAACCGGTTTCAGCTTAAGGGTGATCTTAATCTTGGAAAGCTAGGCAGCCTGTGTGGTTTAGATTTAGAGAATTCTGAATAATGGTGGCTTTATTATACATGGGTTCTTTTCTCTTAGATTTTCCTGAGTAAGGCTTCCTATTTTAAAAAGTATTTCCTCGAGGAAACCCATCATTCTCAAAGTTTTAAGTAAAATAAAATATTTCATGTGAAAGAATATTATCTTAACATATAGCAAGTTTTAACCAAAGTATATGCTTAAATATGAAATATTTAAAAGTATCTGGTTTAGCTCTGGCCAGGTGACTCGGTGGTGGAGTGTTATCCCACATGCTAGAAGGTTCCATTCCCTGTCAGGGCACATGAGGGAGGCGACCAGTCAATGTTTCTCCTTCCTTCCTCTCTAAAAAATCAAATCATATCCCTTTTTGTTTTGTTTTGTTTTTTAAATATCTGGTTTAGTAGGAAATAGACTTTCTTTTATAAGATTGCTGAGAAGTAACTGATTTGGGGCAAAACCATTTATAAGGAATTCTTGCAGCATTCTTGTACAGTTCTTATAGTTACCCTTTCTGACATTTTGTTTTTCATTACATCTATCTTTATTTTAAATTCAGGTTTATATATGAAACAGAACATTTCAATGGTGTTGCTGAACTCCTGGAAATATTAGGAAGGTAGGTCAGTTTTGTGTTTTATTTTTCCTTGTTCTTTTTAAGAATTAAGTAAGTTTGAATATCTTATGTGTGAAAATCTTAGCTGGGGTTGGAGAAATTATACTTAAATATAGACTGCAAGACATCGTTTCTCAACTGAATTCTTATTATAGTTTTCTTTGGAGGTCAGCATTTTTAAAGTACTGCCATGCAAGACATCTGTTTCAGAAGAGGCTTCTTGCTTTTGAAGCTGTGGCATGTTTTATGCCCTATCTTGCCAGACTGCCTCAAAAATTTATAGGATCTGATTGGGAAGAGATGAAATAAGCTACAGTGAATCCTTTGATGAAGTTATAAACTTCTTGTTCATATGTTGATATACCATTCTTAATTCACCTGTTATTTTTAGAAGATTGTACAGCCTTTGATTTTAGTTTACATGAACATTTGCCTTCCTTATTAACTTGAGAAACATTTAGACCCCTGTATTTGTACTAGAGGAAGCTAAAATCTTTAGTAATTAACAGAATGACTATGGAGAAAATTACTTCTTAGTTTAAGATCCTTCAGTAAAACCAGAGAAACAACCCATTTACTTCGAAATATTCAAAATTCTTATTGTGATATTGATTCTGACTTTAGGGATGAAAAAAATAAAGGTAACAGTGCATATTGATTCTGACTTTAGGGATGAAAAAAATAAAGGTAACAGTGCATAAAGTGATAAGCTTATATAGGAAATGAAGATAGAAATTACTCACTGGAACATTAATTGGTAGTCTTATGAATGACTTAAAGACTTCATAGAAATAGTCTGCCTAAAGTAGTTTGAAGATGAGCAAGTAATTCAACACCAGGATCGAAGCAGAGCACAGTTCCTTATATACTCATGGCTATAATAACTTTTAGAAATAAGTAATAACTACTTAACCCTTCCCCCTGCCTTTTTTTCCCTCCAGTATTATCAATGGCTTTGCATTGCCACTGAAAGCAGAACATAAACAATTTCTAATGAAGGTTCTTATTCCTATGCATACTGCAAAAGGATTAGCTTTGTTTCATGCTCAGGTAAGCTTCAAAAAACTTTCAAGTGAAATGAATATTGTTTCAAAGACTGATATAAAGGCAGAGAAATTGAGAAGTACTGAGTTGGCAATTTTAAGTATATTTAAGCAATTTGGTTTTTAAGTTGCCCAAAATAAAATTTTATAATTTATTTTTAGTGTTATTAAATAAGGTCAGTGCATATTGAATATAGACATAGGAAAGAAAATGTCAAGCTCTTTTCTAGTCCAGGCCCTGACCTACTTAACTAAATGGCATTGAATAAATCCCACATAACTGCAGTGTTCTGTTTAGCTGCAATAACCTAGTGAGTCTCAGAGAATAATATATCAGCATGACATACATACTGAAAAGGTAAAATGTTAAGCTCTAGTCTTACTTCAATTAACTTTATATTTTGAAGTTACTTTCAAGGTAAAACAGTTACACAATTGTGAATATACTAATTTTTATATAGTATTGAGATTAAGTTAGAGTAAAACTCATCAAAATGAGGTAGTCATTTTTGTTAGCTAAATATAAAAATCCTGCATCACTAAATGTTACTTCACTCAGTAATATTTATAAACTGTCCCTTCCATTTTAGTTAGCCTACTGTGTTGTACAGTTCCTGGAGAAAGATACAACACTAACAGAACCAGTAAGTGGTCTATTTATTTTTATATTTTGGGTCTTCATTGGAGCATTTCATTGTACCTTTCTTTATACTGTTATATACCATTACAGAGTTATCAACAGTAGTAGTAATATACTTTAAACTAAAATCATTGACAAGGAATGAGAGGTTAACCTACATTCAAAGAATAGGGTTAGAGTTCTCATGAGTTATGTGTTTTGAATAACTTAAATATAACAAGTATAAATTAATATTAACATAGTAGTTGAGATGGGTAATGACAGGATCAAATGACTACACTGAAATTTTATATACATATTATCTTCACTGATAATCTTTTTAATCTTCATTTACCTTTTAAAATTAAAATATACCATGGAAGTCCCAAAATTATTCCCTTGAGTTTTGTCTTTACGAATAGCATTTTTCCTCTTATTAATGATAAACATGATTGGGATTGAAAACGTCTCCTTGCCTTTGGAGCTTAAGCTATAATCTTGGAATAAAGGTTGTTTAGTTTATGAATCAGCATAGCAATTCACTATTTGCATTCTATTGCTGACTATTTGACTATCATATGAAGATTCAGGAGAAAATAAAAATGCTATGAAAATTAACTGAAGATTCAAAAAAAATAAAAGATGGCAGGGAGAAATAGGAAAGTATAAAACAACAAAACCTTGGTGAACTGAAAATTTTAATAGTACTTTCTAACTATCCAAAATCTGAATATTTAAGAGTTTTTGAAGTATTGCTGAAAGTTTGCAGGATTTAAACTGCTATCCCTAGGTGTGCTTGGAAAACTTATGTATTTAGTATTCTCCCTTTGATTTGACCTTTGTATGTGTAAAGGAACAAAAGATGCTTTTCCTACTCCCTTATATTTTGAGTTTTTAGACTTGCAGTTATTTCTGAAAAACAGCTAAAAATACTTTTAAAAACAAATCAGAAGAATTAGAAAGCCCAATTTGTACATGAAGCCACATAAATTTCTGCAGTGGATTAAAACTTAATACAAATCCATAATTCATTAGAATTGAGACAAAGAAAGCCTATAACATAACTGATGGTTCATGTTGGTGAATAGTAAACAGATATAATTTAAGAATATTAAATTAACATGGGTGGCTGGGGAGATGATTTCTTTTTAAAGAGGGATGATGGCCAGATGAGTTGGGTTAATGGAAATTGAAAGAGTAATGTAAATGCCTAAGTTGACAAAAATATTTTTCAATCCATAAAGATCTGTAGATATGAGAGACCTTGCAGTTTCTAACATTGGCTATTCCAGCACCAAAATTATGGCCATGTTACTTGGGTCTCAGCCTTAATATTCATTTCCTAGAAATCTGGCATTCATATCAAAGCTTCCTAAAAATTATAAATAAGCTGTGGCTAGTAGTTTTACATTCTATATGTACCTAAATTTTGCATTGAAATTATTTTCTGAAATAGAAATGACTTTATTTCTGTTTATGAAAGTAGTCTGTGTTAATTTTGTTCACATAATACAAAATCAGAAAGCACAATGTGGAGGTAAATACTTATAAGTGAATATATTTCTAGAAAATTTTTCTATATTTATGTGTAGTTAAACAAATGGTGGGACAATGCTTTTTTTTTTCAGCTCAATATAATGTGAGATGTAATATCTTTCCATATGAACCTGATTATTTTGTTCACTAATAGCATCAGATTCCATTATAGATTACCCTAACATACAATTTAATCACTCTTCCATTAATGAGTATTTGAATTATAGTTTTCATTGTTACAGTCATATTGTTGGGTGAAAGGGTATTTTAGGGGGTTGGATTTGTGCTGTGTCCTGTCTGTGGTGTTTGTTACAAAAAAAAATGTGTGTGTATAAAACCCCTCAGAACTGTATATACTGCAAGTAAATTTTTAAACTTATTAGCCAAAGAATCCATGGAAATTTTAATGTTCTAAGTTGCCTTCCACAGAGTTTGAACAATTTAGACGCCTGTTTTCCCTTACCCTAGCAGGATATTAAGTTTAAAATTTTTTGCTGATATTAAAATTTTTTTAAAATATATTTTATTGATTTTTTAGAGAGAGGAAGGGAGAGAGACAGAGTTAGAAACATTGATCAGCTACCTCCTGCACACCCCCTTACTGGGGATGTGCCCACAACCAAAGTACATGCCCTGACTGGATGCTCTATCTACTGAACCAAACTGGTTTTGGCTGATAGTAAAATTTGTTAGCTTAAAGATATGACATTTTTTAATTGGCTTTTTCATTATTTACAAGGATTGAGCCATCCTTTTAAATGGTTATTGGTCATTTATATTTCTGTGTTCTTGGCCTAGTTTTTATCCTTTTCCTGTATTTTGCAAATATTTTTGTTCATTTGAAGTTTTTCTTTAAGGCAAAGTTAGTTAAAAACTATACTCAAAATTAAAGAACTAAAAAAAATTTTATGTAGTGGAATGTATTCGTCATTATGGCTTCTGGCCTGACATGCTAAGAAAAATCTTTTGAGATGATCAAAATATTCTGTAGTATCCTATTCTGGTTATTTTATGGATTTAGTTTTTATCTATAAAAACTTTATCCCATCTGCAATAGTTTCCTAGTACTGCCATGACGAATTACCACAAATCTGGTGGCTTAAAATGACAGAAATACTCTCGCACAGTTCTGAAGTCCAAAATGAAGGTGTCAGTCAGCACCTTAGGTGCTGTTCTTAGGTGCGTTCCCTCCAGATGCTCTAGGGAAGTCCCTTCCTTGAATCTTTCAGTTTCTGGTGTCTCTAGGTTTTCCTTGACTTGTGGCTGCATCGCTCCAATCTCCCATTGTCTCTGCCTCTTAAAAGGATTGTTGTTGGATTTAGGGCCCACCCAAATAGCCCAGGGTGACTTTATAATGAGATCTTTAACTTTTAATTATATCTGTAAAGACCCAATTTCCAAATCACATTCATAGAGTCTAGGATTAGGGTACACACACCATCTGAAATTGAAATTTGTGTGTGATAAGAGTAAGGAACTGCATTAGTTTTCTATTGCTGAATAACATTTAAAAAATTTAATGGCTTGCTGAAACCGGTTTGGCTCAGTGGATAAAGTGTCAGCTTGCGGACTGAAGGGTCCCGGGTTCGATTCCGATCAAGGGCATGTACCTTAGTTGCGGGTACATCCCCAGTAGGGGGTGTGCAAAAGGCAGCTGATCAATGTTCTCTCTCATAGGTGTTTCTAATCTCTATCCCTCTCTCTTCCTCTCTGTAAAAAAATCAATTTAAAAAAAATTTAATGGCTTAAACAACTCATATAAAGGCTCAGATGAGGAAGGATCTGCTTCTGAGTTCACATTTGTCAAAAATTCAGTTTCTTAGGTGCTGTTAGACTGAGTGAGGGCCTCAGTTTCTAGCTGGCAGTTGGTCACCGGCCACCCTCAATTCCTTGTCAACGTGGGCATTTCCAAATATAGCAGGTTGCTTTACCCAAGTTGCAAGATGAGGCTTTAGAATCTGTTAGTGAAGTGGAAGTCACTACGGCAGCCCACACATAAGACAAAAGAGTGTGAATTCAAGAAGTAAAAATCTTGGGAGATTATTTTAAGAGTCAGCCTACCAAAGGAGCTACATTTTTTTCCCCCCCTAAATGGTGAGCCACTTACTTAAGTAACTAACTCATCTGTTTCCCGTGGAACTGAAATGCCACCTTTGTCATATATTTAAACCATATATATGTGTGTGTGTGTCTAGTTATAACTGTATTTTATGTCTTTTCTGTCAGTTTTCATGCTAATACCATCTTGTTTCTGCTGTTATCCGTAGTTCAGGTTCCATTCCATTAATTTGCCCTCCATCTCATTCATGGTTATTTGCTTTACATTTATAGCTTTTAGAATAAGTGTTTCTAGTTTGGGAAAATAATTCATTTGACATTTGATTGAAATATTAAATTTATAGATTAAGTACAGAAGAAATATCTACAATATTGAATCATGTTATCTACTTAGTCTTTAATGATATTCAGTGATGTTTTATAGTTTTCATTGTATAAATGTTATACATTTCTTACCAGTTGTAATCTTTATGTACATCAGTTTTTGTTATGAAAGGCATTTTTCACTTGATTATCACTAATACTTTATTTTATAAAGGTATATTGATTTTATCTGACCATATATTGAATTTTTTTACTCATTTTAGTAATTTTTTCTACCCATTTAGAAAGTTATTTTAAAATTATAAAAATGTATAATTAATATATACTTAGAGAATAAGTATAATTCTGATATTCCTTTCTAAAGTTATTCTTCAAAACCTTTTCATTTTACTGGGTTAGCTCCAGCACAATGTTCTCTCCAACTTTAATTTGAATGAGTTTTTCATTACTGGACAAGATCAGTAACTATAACAAATCCTAAAAGGCTGTCAAAGATCTATTTCCACAAAAGTACCAGGCCCAGAGAGTTTTACAAGCTGTTTCTAAAAAAGCATTGTATAATGCTTTCTGATATTGATGGCTTCTAATAAATTCTTAGTTCTGTCTTACTAAAATTTTATCAGAATAAATAATATCAACTGTTCAAATTTTTTTGAGATATTAATATAATCTACAACTATGAGTGGAACCATCCTGGAATAAATTAGATAGTATTCTGTTAATATGCTGTTGGATTCACTTAGTTGCAAAAATTTGTATTATAGTTTGGTTATCAAGATTATGCTAGCTATTAAATAAACTGGGGAGCTTTCTGGTTCTTCATAATAGTTTTAAATAAGAATTATTTGTCTCTTAGTTTCTCCTTAAAATAACCTGTGCTCCTCAGCCCAGTAGTTACTACTATATTTTATTTTCTTATTAGCACTTACTGCTATTGAAATTATTTTATTTATATGTCTAATTGATAACATGTTGATCTCTCTGCTTTATGCAAATCATGAACAGTATCTGGTACAAAAGCATTCAACAAACAAATAAAATCTGGGATACACTTAGATAATACTTCAGAATGAATGTTGATATAACCACAATTACTTAAAATTTTCTGGAATTAACTAACTTCATTGCTTAATTACATTAGCTAAACTTTTCCTTTTGCAGGTGATCAGAGGATTGCTGAAATTTTGGCCAAAAACATGTAGCCAGAAAGAGGTACGTTTGATTCAATAAAAATAGTACATTAAAACACTGGCCTTAGGGCTATAAACCATGTTTCTTTTGGCCCTGCTACTGATCAGCTGTTCTATGGAGACTAGAAAGACTTGGTAGAATAACTGTCAAGTCTTTTTGTGTCCAATAAGATAATTGTTTAATGTTTTCTATATTATCATATAATTTGTCATGTTTCTTAAAAAAATTTTTTTAACCTAGGTGATGTTTTTAGGAGAAATTGAAGAAATCTTAGATGTCATTGAACCAACACAGTTCAAAAAAATTGAAGAGCCCCTTTTTAAGCAAATATCTAAGTGTGTATCCAGTTCTCATTTTCAGGTATGATATACTCAACAAAGCCATATTTTATACTACCGTACTACTTTTCTCTCTCGTTTTTGACATTGATAAATATTTCTTTCAGGTTGCAGAAAGGGCGTTGTACTTCTGGAATAATGAATATATTCTTAGTTTGATTGAGGAAAATATTGATAAAATTCTGCCAATTATGTTTGGTAGTTTGTACAAAATCTCCAAGGAACACTGGAATCCGTAAGTCTTTGGCTATTTAACCTTTTTATCTTTTGCTCTCCTAACTCATACATAAAGCCTATGCAGATTTGGAACTTATTCCAAGGTTAACATCACATAGTATATACCTTTATAAGATGTAAATATATGTGTTTGTATCTTCTTAATTTGAATTTAAAATTACAAATCTCCCTGAAGGTAGGACTTTTAGTGTGACATTCTGCGTCAGACCCAGCTAATATTTGTGGAGATGCACAAAAGACTGCAAATGCCAAGTTGGGTTGACCTGTCGCTAATAACACTCTCATCTCTACAGGGAGTGCTTAAGGTCATATAAGTGATGCTTAGTTGGCATATATTCTAAATTCTATGACATGTTCGTTTTGTTTTTATTGATTTTTTAGAGGAAGGGATAGAGACACATTATTGACTGGCTGTTCTGCATGCCTCATGTCACCAGTAAATTGTTTCCTGAGTCAGCACTCAACTGCTGAGCCACAGCAGCTGGGTTCCTGTCCTTTAAAAGATGATTAGAGCAGCTGAAACCGGTTTGGCTAAGTGGATAGAGCGTCAGCCAGTGGACTGAAAGGTCCCGGGTTCGATTCCGGTCAAGGGCATGTACCTTGGTTGCAGGCACATCCCAAGTAGGGGCGTGCAGGAAGCAGCTGATTGATGTTTCTCTCTCATCGATGTTTCTAACTCTCTTCCTTCCTCTCTGTAAAAAAATCAATAAAATATATATTTTTAAAAAAATGATGATTAGAGCAGACATGAAGCTAACCATAGCATTTTTAGTGAAAGTTTAATCTGAGTATGATACATTGGTGAGGAACAGAGTTTGGAATCAGACCATCTCTGTACCACTGGCTATGGAACCTGTAGCATTTCCTCTTTTCATCTCTAAAATGGATTGAGTGAACCAGCCAACATTTAACTCCTTTCAGAGATGATAGTGTTACATTTCCTGCTAGAGGCATCAATAACTCAGCACTGGCTTATTTTTCGTTTTAGGACCATCGTAGCACTGGTTTACAATGTGCTGAAAACCCTAATGGAAATGAATGGCAAGCTTTTCGATGATCTTACTAGTTCATACAAAGCTGAAAGACAAAGGTATTTGACATTTTAAATTACATTTTAGGTTAGCTGAATGTGATTCTGGATAATAAGATATTTTCTCCAAGTTAGAATTATCATGTTTAAAAAATCAATTAAGCATTATAATTTGAAAGTCTCAACACTTTTAAGTTATTTCCAGGTAAATTTCCCCTATTGGTTGGTTAGATTATGATTTTAATGTGAATCAAATCTGTTGGTTACTTTCTGAGCCTTAAACTTCCTCAGTCTTGTAGCACTTGAATGCAATGTGCTAAAAACCCTAATGAAAATGAACAGCAAGCTTTTTGTACTATTTCATACAATTTGATTTTGTATATATTTATGAAAAGCATTGTTGTCACCATGGACTTCCATAATGAACTTTACTCTTCATATACTCCTTGCACACAATAGGGTTTTTAAGCTCCCCATTTAAACAAGGTGGCATGTTAAAGTCAGCACAGTTCACGTATGTATATATTTTAGAGAATAAAAGATAGTACACAGTATTTAGGAACTTGGATTAGTGAATCTAAAAACTACTTCCTTCTCACTCATATTATTTCAAACTTCAGTTGAGAGTAACCACTGTACTTGAGCCCACCTGTCATTTGAGGATAATAGCTACCATTTACTTCTAATGAGTATATTACCTACTCGGTTTGGAAAAGCTCATCTATTTCAATTAGTCATGGTAGAAAAAGCATATTTTATTCAAGGCCATCCTAGTCTACCAATAAGTAAAGTCAATGCATTATTTCTTCTAAATAGCCCTCTTTTAGACAGGAATATATATTTGAGCCCAGAAACAAATGGAAAGAAAACATGACTAAATAATCATATCTTAATCTGCACTGATTAGTACCTGTGTCCCCCTTAAATCATCTAAGAACTTTAAGCCCACATTCTTATATTCAAAATTGAAATTAAGTACTTGAAACAACATATAAAACAGATTAAATTTGTGTTTTTATTTTTGAGAGAAATGATTTGAAGTTTCCATTTGATGTGTAAGAGATGAGAGAGCAAGTTACAGTCTGGTTAGTGCCTAGGAAAGTGATACATTCCAGCTGAAAATGGTCTCAGATTAACCTCAAGGCCAATCTTCTATAGAAGAGTGATTTTGACCTAATAGTAACTACAAGAGTTCCATGTAAAAGTACTTTGGTCAAGACTTGCAGTTAAATAAACATTTCCCACATTAAAATTACAAACCCATCATTGAGAACCACCCAAATACTAGCTGAATAGAACTCATAGCTTCTTTAAGGAGTCTGATGGGAGGGATATCTTGACTGCAGAGGTCCCCCCACCAGGAGTGAGGGGCACCAGTACAGGTAGGAATGCCCATTACATCTGGCTGTAAACACTGTCAGGGATTATGTCCAAGTGAGAAAGGGCTGCTCAAGTCCCAGGCATTCCCCTTGAGGGGCCTGCACCAGGGACCTACAGGGCAAGACATGGAAGCACTGGTAGGTACAAATCTGAGCTCCCCATTAACCTCGCTAACACCACATGCTCCTGCGTTGGTGAGTCCTTAAAACTCAGTCCCATTTCTGAGGGGCAGGGAGACTAACAAAATAATTTATATGCGTATCCCATGGTCACAGACAATTGGGTGGTCATGGAAGTCAATGGAGGGCGGATGACATCCTGTAATATTTTTAACAATAAAGATAACTTTAAAAAAACAAACCTCTGCCTGATGCCATCTGGCTTGCGCTGTGGACTCTAAGGTCCAAAATCACCAATGAGATTGGTCTCAACTTGAGCTGTAATTTCCATTAGGTGGCTCCAAGCTAGGAATTAGCTGTGGCCATGGTAGCTCAGAACATAGCTTCCAATAAGCAGCCAATCTCGATTTGCCACATACCCTCTTTTCAAATTCCTCCAAACACGGCACAAGTGACAACCAACCACAAATCACTTTGCAGCTCCCACCAGATGGCCAACATGGGCCTTCCCTCCACCCCTCTCAAAACCAAGACACCTGTTAGCCAGCTTCATTTAAAACCAGAGAATCCCTACCCAACCAGCTCACATCAGAGCTCCACTAAAGCACCTCCTGCTACATGGAGTCAGTATCCACACAGCAGTTTATCTGCTGTGTGGTCACTGACATGTTCATTCGAGACAAAACGGAAGGGCACCTACTACATAAGATAACTGCCAAGTCTGTGAGATATAGATTGACCTAATACTAGTACAAGGGATGTCAATGAACTGAGGGGAAAAAATGGATGAACTCATTGAGAAGTTTGGAAGAGAGATATGGAACATAAAAATGGAGATAGGAAGAATGCATTATAGGGAATCAACAGATTAGAAAAAGCAGAGGGATGAATCAGAAATCTGGAAGACAGTAAAAAAATAACCAAATTTGGAATACAAAAATAATTTTAAAAATGAGAATAGTTTGAGGGACATCTGGACCAACATCAAACATAACTTTTCTATCAAAGAACGAGAGAGCAAGGGATTAAAAACCTATTTGAGGAAATAATGACTGAAAACTTCTCTAACCTGGTGAAAGAAATATTCATATTAATCCCAGAGTCCCACATAAAGGCATATCATAGCCTTGCCTGGGTGGCTCAGTTGGATGGAGAGTCCTGTACAAAAAGTTGCCAGTTTGATTCCTAGTAGGGGCCCATATGGGAGGCAACTGATTATGTTTCTCCCTGTTTCCCTAACCCCCTTCCTCTCTAAAAAGCTCAATAAAAAGACCATTATAATTTAAAAAGTTAAAAGAAAATCTTAAGAGCAGTGAGTTGCATACAAGGGAGCTCTCAAGACAGTCAACTGATTTCTCAACAGAAACTTTGCAGACCAGAGGGATTGGCATGAAATATTTAAAATGATAAGCAAGGACCTACCCAGCAAGACTATCATTTAAAATAGTAAGACAGCCCATCCATCGGTTTACAGACTGAAGGGTCCCATTCTATTCCAGTCAAGGGCATGTACTTGGTTGCAGGCACATACCAACTAGAGAGTGTGCAGGAGGCAGCTGATCGATGTTTTTAACTCTTATGTCCCTCTCCCTTCTTCTCTGTAAAAAATCAATAAAATATATTTTTAAAAGATTATTAAAATAGTAAGACAGCCCTAGCTGGTTTGGCCCAGTGGATAGAGCATCGACCTGCAGACTAAAGGGTCCTGGGTTCAATTCTGGTCAAGGGCATGTGCCTATATTGTAGGTTTGAATCCCCAGTGGGGATTGTGCAGGAGGCAGCTGATCAAAATTCTCATCGTTGATGTTTCTAGCTCTCCCTCTCCCTTCTTCTCTGAAATCAATAAAAATGTTTTCTTAAAGACATCAGAGCAGCCCATTTTTTAAAAAATGAAATAAAATTGTAGGATAAAGAGCTTCCCAGAAAAAATAAAAACTAAAAGAGTTTATCACTGCAAAATTAGTAATAAAAGAAATGTTAGGGGGACTTAAGAAATAGGGGTGGTAGGATAAAAAATAGGAGTAATAAAATGGCAGTAACCAATACCTATCAGTAATTACTTTAAATATAAATAGATTAAGTGCTCCAATCAAAAGACATATGGTGGCTGAAATATAAGAAAACAGGACCCATACATATGTTGCCCATGAGAAACCCACTTCTGATCAAATGGCACATGGAGGCTGAAAGTAAAAAAATGGAAAAAGACATTTCATTCAAAATGGTAATGCAAAAAAAATTTTAAAAAGTAGCAATGCTTAGAAAAATAGACTTTAAAATCAAGGCTATAACAAGAGACAAAGGAGGACACTTCGTAATGATAATAGGACCAATATAAAAAGAGACTATAACCCTTGTAATAAATTCACATCCAGTGTAGGAGCACCTAAAATTTATAAAGCAAATATTGGTGGAAATAAAAGGAAAGATAGTAACACAGACATAGTAGGGGTCTTTAACACCCTATTGACATCAACGGATAGCTCAGACAGAAAATCAACAAGGAAGTGGTGCTTAAATGACAAACCAAATGTGTTTAGATCATTTCACTCAAACAGCAGAATATACATTATTTTCAAGTGCACATGGACTGTTTTCCATGATAGGCCACATGTTAGGATATGAAACATGTCTCAAATTTAAGAAGATTGAAATAATATCAAGTATCTTCTGGAATGAAGTTAGAAATCAATTATAAAAAGGAAACTGGAAAACACAAATACATAGAAGCTTAATAAAATACTACTTAACAAGATCAAGACAAAAAGATGCCCCGAGACATGAACACACAGTGATCCCAAATCTATGGGATATAGCAGTTCTAAGGAAATTCATAGCACTATAGGTCTACCTCATGAAAAAAGCCTTCAAATAAGCTATCTAACCTTATATTTAAAGGAATCAGAAAAATCACAAAATCCAAAGGGAGGAGGAAGAAGGAAATAAAGACCTGAGCAGAATTAAAGTTTTAAAAAACAATAGATCAATGAAACCAAGAGCTACTTTTTGAAAACATAAAATTGATAAACCTTTAACTGAACTCATTAAGGCAGAAAAGAAAACCCAAATAAAATCAAATGAATGGGAAGTGACAACTGATACCATAGAAGTACGAAGGTTTAAAAGAAAATTCTATGGCCCTGGCTGGTGTGGCTCAGTTGGTTGGCACCATCCCATGCAATAAAAGATGGTCCGTTCAATTCCCATTCAGGACACATGCACAGTTGTGGGATCTATCTTTGGTAAAGGTCGTGCAGGCGACAGCCAATCAATGTTTTTCTCTCCCTTTTCCTTCCTCTGTAAAAATCAATTTTAAAAGTATTTTTAAAAATACTATGAACAACTTAGATGCCAGCAAATTAGAGACAATCTGGAAGAAATGGATAAATTTTTAGAAACATAAAATCTTCCAAGACTGAATTATGAAGAAACAAAATCTGAACAGACTGATTACAACCAATGAAATCAAAGCGGTAAAAAACAAACAAAAAAACAATTCCCAACAAACAAGTTCTGGACCAAATGGCTTCACAAGTGAATTTTATCAAACATTCAAAGAATTACCACCCTCAAACTATTAAAACAAACTGAAGGTGAGAAAAGGCTCCCAAGCTTGTTTTATAAAGCTAGCATTATTCTAATTCCCAAACCAGACAAAGACACAACATCAAAAGTACAAGGTAGGCCGATAGCCCTGATAAACCTAGATGTAAAAAAAAAATCCTTAACAGAATATTAGAAAGTCAGAGAATAATAGAGTTGTCAGCCTGGGGACTAAAGAGACCTATGTTCAATTCTGGCCAAGAGCACATGCCCAGGTTTTGGCTCAATCCCGCCCAGCCCTATGCTTGGCCTCCCCACCCCCACACACACACACACACACCCTTTGGGGATGGGCAGGAGGTAGCCGAACAATGATTCATCTGTGATGTTTCTCTTTGAAATCAATTTTAAAAATTAGAAAACTGAATACCCTGATATATTGTAAAGATCAGGCACCATGATCAAGTGGGATTCATCCTAGGATGCAAGGATGATTCTACACCTGTAAATCAAGTGATATACCACATAAAATGAAGGATAAAATCATGATCATATCAATAGATGCAGAAAAAGCATTTGATAGAAACTCAGCAAAGTGGAGTAGAGGGAATATACCTCAACCTAAGAAAGGCCATATATGGCAAATTGACAGCTAATATCATACTAAGTGTGCAAAGCTAAATGCTTTTTCTTTAAGATCAGTAACAAGAGAAAGATGTCTACTTACCCCACTTTTATTGAACATAATATTGGAAGTCATAGCCACAGCAATAAGACAAGCAAATATGAAGCATCCATATTTTAAAGGAAGAAATAAAACGGTCATTATTTGCAAATGACATACTATATGGAGAGCACCCTAAAGAATCCACCAAAAAACCATTAGAACTAATGTAAAAAGATACAAAATTAATGCTCAAAAATTGGTTGCATAAGAAAACAATCCCACTTACAAATGCATCAAAAAGGATAAAATATCTAGGAATAAATTTCACCAAAGAAGTATAAGACCTGCACTCAGAAAACTAAGACACTAAAGAAAGAAATTAGAAAAAATACAAATAAATGGAACGATATACTATGCTCATAGAGGAGCAGTTTCTATCAAAATACCAATGGCATTTTTCACAGAACTAGAACAAATAATTCTAAAGTTTACATACAACGACAAGTAGCCAAAGAAATCTTGAGAGAAGAATAAAATTGGAGGTGTTATGCTACCTAATAAACTATACTACTAGACTACAGTAATTAAAACAGGATGGTACTGGCATGGAAACATACCAAAAATAAATGACACCTATATGGCCAATTATAATAAAAGCAGCAAAAATATGCAATGGAATAATGCCACATTCTTTAAAAAATGATACTGGGAAAACTGGACAAACACATAGAAAAGAATAAAACAGGGTCACTTTCTTACACCATATAGAACAATAAACTTCAAAATGGATTTTAAGACCCAAAACCATAAAACTCATAGAAGAAAACATAGGAAGTAAGCCCTTTGACATTGTCTTAGTAATATTTGCATGTCTCCTCTAGCAAGAGAAACAAAAGTATGTATATCAAAATAAAAAAACACCTACTGAATAGAAGATATTTGCCAATGATACAGCCGATAAGGATTTAAAATCTAAATCACATAAGGAATTCCATACCATTTCTCTCTCTCTCTCTCTCTCTCTCTCTCTCTCTCTCTCTCTCTCTCTCTCTCTCTCACACACACACACACACACACACACACACACACACACACACACACACACACGGACTTGAATAGAAATTATCCCAAGAACACATACAAATGACCAACCGACAAAGGAAAAGATGCTCAATATAAGGGAAATGCAAATTGAAACCACAAGGAGATATCACCTCACACCTATCAGAAGGGTTATCACCAATTATTGACAACCAAGCATTGGAGAGGATGTGATGTAGAGAAATCTCTTTGAAAACTAGGAAATTCTACACAAACATGGATGCTTCATGATGGCTGGTGACATGGCTTCATGTGCCTGAGCCTAGAGCCCCCACTGACGTGGAGGGAGAACCCGAGAAGAGAATCCTGTGCCTGTGGAGATTGTAAATTGGTGTGGCCACTGGAAGAGTATGGAGATTTCTCAATTAAAATAAACACATGACCCATCAGTTCTACTTTCACATATCCAGAGAAACCCAAAATGCCATTTCGAAAAACGTATGCTCCCCCATTTTCGTTGCAGCATTATTTACAATAGCAATGTTATGGAAACAACCTAAACATTAACAACTCAAGTGGGAAAAGATTATGGTTTTATACAACAGAATATTACTCAGCCATAAAAAAGAATAAAACCTTACCATTGACAACAGCATGGATGGACCTAAAGGGTATTATGCTAAGTGAATTGTGTCAGATAAAGACACATCTGGTTTTCCTATATATGTGGATCTAAAAAATCCCCCCCACACAAAATAAATGAAAAAATAGTTTCATAAATGGAGAAAACAAACTGATGGCTGCCAGACGTGAGGGTGGTTGGAGGAATGGGTAAAAACGGTGACAGAATTATAAATTGCCGATTAAAGTATGAATTGCCAATTATAAAGAGTCACAGGGGTGTCAAGTACAGCATAGGGAATATAGTCAATAAAATAACTATGCAGGTTGTCAGATGATCACTTTGTAAGTTATATAAATGTCCAATTACTATGTTGTACACCTGAAACTATTATACTTTTATATGTCAACTATAATTGATGATTAAAAATTTTTTTCAATAAAGTATTTTTTAACTGTAAAGCACCAATGATATGGTGGGCATGGTGGTGATAGAGATAATATGTAGAAGAGGTAAAGTAGTGACTTTAGTTCGGTACAGAAGCACAGATGTAGGAGAGTGACAAGGAGTACTGAGGTGCTCCAGGTGATTGTCCTCAAACACCTTAGTTGAGGGATTGAAGTGCAATGTGGATGAACAGTGTTTTCTAGCAAACTGCCAAACTGTTCTTCAGGTTCTGAAATAAAACTTTGCTTTATCTACAGAGAGAAAAAGAAGGAATTGGAACGTGAAGAATTATGGAAAAAATTAGAGGAGCTAAAACTAAAGAAAGCTCTGGAAAACCAGAACAATGCTTACAACATGCACAGTATTCTCAGCAATACAAGTGACAAATAAAGAGAAACATGCCGCCTCTGTTGGATAGGCACAGTTTTGTACAACTTTTTTAAAAATGTAAAAATCATGAAACCTCATCAGTATAATTAAAAGGCCAATTTTTTTCTGGCAACTGTAAATGAAAAAAATACATGGACTAAACATAGCCCTGTGCTTTATCATGGCCACAGTATATTGTAACCTTTGTCTAATCATTGATTTATTGTGTCACATCTGAAGTTTCACAGAAATGAACTTTATCATCTATAATATGAGTGAGATAATTATGGGAGTGGTAAGAATTATGACTTGAATTCTATTTTGATTGTGTTGCACATAGATATAATAGTCTGCTCTGTATATTTTTCCCTTTTTATAATGTGCTTTTCACATTGCTGCAAACCTTAGTTACATCCTAGGAAAAAAGTATTTCCTAAATAAAACTAAGGTATAATCCTCACCTTTCTCTTTGTCCCTCTCAGAAATATGATGTGGGGAATTAACTGCCAAAAGCCTTCCTCCGTTAGAAATATTACTGTACTCTGGAATTTGAGCAAAAAAAGCTTAAATCTCCAGGTTTTTCAAAGCACAAACTATTATATAAATAAAAGCTAGGAAAGTAAACCAAATTCTTCAGATTGCTCCTCTTGAGTATCCCCCTTACCTGCAACTCCTGAACGATGAGCAGATTAGCGCAGGTGAACACCCAGCCTCCTCTCAGTTCATTCCTCTTCCTCCCCTCCCCGGGCTGAAGGCAGGGCCCTTCCAGCCCTCAGCACCTGCCCCTCCGGTCCCTGCGGACGGAGGCCTCGCGCCCCACAGTGTGGGACGCAGAGCTCCTGGCCACTGCCCGGCTACTTAAAGGAACTGCAGTTGGCTTCTGTAGAGTTCTAAGAAGGGTGACTATAGGAGTCTTGTATGTTTTTACTTGGTCAAATATTTCTCATAAATTTTGTTATCAGAGTACCATTCCAATCTCTTAACTTGCAGTTGTGTGGAAAACTGTTTTGTAATGAAAGATCTTCACTGGGGATTGAGCAGCATTTAATAAAGTCTATGTTTGTATTTTGCCTTATCTCATCACTGCTTTTTTCAGCTCTAAGTTTAGGCATTCAGAAGCAACTGTCCCCCTTTATACATATATACACATACATCATTCATACGTGTGTGTATACAGGAAAGCTTAAGGCAAGTTGCAGGATACAGTCTTAAATAGGAAGATTGTGCCCAATTGAGTGTTCTAGCCATTTACCAAAGTATACCTGTTTTACAGAATATTTGCATAAAACTCAAGTTCTAGGATATCCTTCTCGTCCTTTTATGTTCAGAGGATGGATTTAACTTACCTTAAATGTTAGTTTTAATTAAAATAGACCCAGGAGGATAAATGTTGAACGTCTGTAATAAATAACAGCATTTTTGTGAGGGGCGGGGAGATTGTAGCAGAATCAGAAGTCAGGCGTTCTCAGAGTTTTCAACGACTGGTGTCTGATTCCACCCTTTCACACCCAGGAAGAGCTCTAGCCCAGGTCTGCACGCTGTGCCCAGGTCCTTGTAAAAGAACCCATCGCTCGCTGTGGCCCCCAGAAAGCTTCCTTTTCAGTGTGTGGCTCATAGTTCACTGTGTTCTCAAGCAGCCCCTTACCTGAGACTTCCAGAGCACGGTGCTCTTGCCAGATCCTCCGCACTGACCCACGGCCGGCGGCCAGGTAGAAGGGCGATCCTACTGCAGAACAAGATTGAGAGGCAAGCCCTTCCGGAAAGGGAACGTTCGGGCTGACGGTCCTTGTGGAAGGGTTAGGCGCGCTCATCTCTTACTGAAGAGCAGCCAGAGTGGACTTCGGCGGGCTGCAGCTAGTAATTACCGTAGTTTCGTTTCTTTGATGAGTTAAAACTGCTCACTTCCTAACTACCTACTTACACGAAAGCACAATTAAGAGGTCTCAACTTTCCACAATATAGAAAATTCCGTTTTAGGCTGTTCACTGGGGCAAATTTTATTAGCCATTTTACAGATATTAACTAATATTAAAGTGGTGGTCATTTTCAGAGAGACTTTACGAACACACACCTGATTCTCAGTACTGCTAATGTACGCTTTTATGCCTGGCTTTGCATTTGCCTTACAGCAAGATTTTTAGAGATAAGACCGAGGCTAAAGTTTGAATTTCCATGCTCTATGGCAGTGGTCACCACTGCTGGTATGTGAGGTCCGAAAGGTTGGTGACCGCTGCTCTATGGCACAGAAAAGCAGCAGGGAGTATTTCTGTACACAAGTTCACGTGTAATAATTCAGCCAAAACCAGCTTCTTGCTAAGTTAGACATGAGATTTAAAAAAATACCCATCACACATTTGAGTTACCTAAAGGCAGATTATGAAATTCAGGAAATGCTACCAAGTCCTCTTTGGATGCCAAAGGGCATGTAAATAATTTAAAACTCTGGAAACAACTTCTTAACGTTAAATCAGCCAATGGCTACCATGTGAAACATACTCCGGTGGTTTTGGAGGGTTAACAGCGGATTCATGGGGCTTGAGCCATCAAGCTTCCCATCGAATGTCCCACCCCACCTTACCTCGGGGCCAGATCCATCCACCTCAGGAGTCTAGGCTCACCGCCTCTGATTTGAGGCCACAGAAGGAAAGTGTACTGGTGCCTACTGATTTAACAGATATTCATACTGGCACACAGATTCCTTTTGTACTAACCTTTTATTCCTGCTAATGAAATCATCAAAATACATTGAATAGGCACCTAACTCGGTACATTCACACTAGTGCTTCTGCTTGTTAATCACTCTAAACTCATACCTGCGTCAACAAAACTCTTAAGATGGCTAGTCAGGCCACAGGAAATCTAATTACAGTATTAACTTCAAAAGTTTCATTTAACATTTAACAAAGGGGAGAACTTGTCAGAGACGGGACAACGGAAACGGCAGACGATGCCAGAGACCTCAGTGTGTGCCCTTTGTGTAAAGTGCTCAGGTTTTAAAGCGTGATCTGCACATCCCGACAGCCACACCCTCGTCCATCCACTTAAAAACCTCAGGGGAAACCCCAGGTAAACAGCGCAGCCTTAACCGCCCGTGCAGCTGAGCTGTACACCAACCAGACCAGAAGGAAAGGCAGTGTCGACAATCCTTCAGAAACCAGCCCTAGTTCCATCTTCCACAAACCCTATTCACATGTCCTACGCAAAACTTCCTGAATAACTTAAGTGCTTAAATAACGTGAAGGTCATCCACTGGATCTGTTCCCCAGCGGCTCCTCCCAGCAGGCCCGTCTCTCAGGTGAGTTCAGGAGTGCTGGTGGCTCAGTCTATCAAAGTGGAAGTGGTGAGACCTCCATTAGCGTGGGCAGGTCCATGGACAGGGTGGCTTCAGCTTATGTGGTTCGTTGCCTGACCTCTCTTTTTAAGATATCTCTTCCTAATTTTGATCATCCACTTGACACTCAGTTTGGCAAACTCTGCTGCTTTAAATAATGCCAAGAAGGCCCCACAGAGAAGAGCAATTGTGTTCCAAGGATTGGCTGTGATTATCTGTAAGACAGAACCAACTCAAGTTTATTAGTTTGCTTCAGTTTTGATTCTTAGGTGATACTAGCATCAGTGGGTGATGAGAAAACCACCCGGGTTCTAAAATTGTAACTCCACACTCCCGTCACACTCGCATGTCCACAGTTCAATCCTCCCTACAACAAAGTGATTCTGAAAGAAAAACGTTTTAAAATAGCCATGCGCAAGTAAGATCCTCGGTCCTGAGCTTTATGTTTCTGGCCCACAATCGGTGACGGTGCTTTAAGCCAAATTTCTCCAAAACTCATCCCAGTAGAGGAGCAGCTCCTCTTGTTTTCCTCGCCTCACACTTCTCCCGTCCAGCCCAGTGGCCATCCTCCCGCACTCCCCTGGGGACCCCCGCCTCCAGGCTCTGCCCCCCTCCCCGCCTGCATGCCTCTCGCCTGCCTAGAGCTACTGATCCTCCGAGCCTTCCCTGTTCACTCAGCCAAACCTCCGACACGTAGCAGACATTCACCCCACAGTCTCTCCGGGGGGGGGGGGGGGGGTGTGTGAGGCACTGCCTGTCTGGGATTAGTCCCTTCACAGCCACAGGTGCTCCCTCCGGAAATAAACTCTCCACGGCCAACGTCCTGTTTGGATTTCCCAGATCCCCACCCTGGTACAGAGCACTGTTCAGTCGAGCAGGGCGACCTCAGACCCCGAACCTTGGGTGGTTCATCGCCTCCGCTGCTGGGGACTGTGGTGAAGCTGAGTGACAGCGCGAGGAGGCCTCGAGCACCGGCCCATCACAGGCACTTCCCAGGGAATCAGGTTACAAGCGTCTCATCACTTGATTTACGTGCAGAGCTGAAGGCGCTTACTCCTCTACTCGAGCCCTGACTGCCAAAGCCTCGCACAAGCCTGGCCAACGCACGGATACGGTGGCGGTGAGTGGCCGTGGAGCACGCCCGAGTCACAAACCTCCCGGTGTCAGCCCGGCTCTGAGCATGGCCACGTCAGCACATTCTGGGACGAGCTCGGGGGCTGGCTCGCACAAATGCGTCTCACGAGTGTTCCGTGGGCAGAGCTGTCTCCTTAGTGCCCCTTCGGTCTGAGAACCTGGCATTAACTGACACTGCTGATTTTTTGTGTGTACCTTTCTGTTCTCTCTCATCACAAATAAGTCCCCATCCTACAGACAACCATTTAAACAGAAGGGTTCCCAAAGATCAGTAATGGAGACAGTAGCTCAATGCTTTCTACTCAGGCCATTCAGTTAATATCACCGCGAAGCAGCTCCTCTGTGCCAGGCACTGTGCTCGACACCAAACAGATGAACAAAAGACAAAGTCCCCACCGTTGTGGCTGCCGTCTAGCGGTGAAGACAAGACCCATTAAACATGCCACCCACACACCTGGTCTGGGCCAGGAAAGGAGACGAGCCTGCAGGCAGCCCACCTGCCTCGCCATCTTGATACTCACATCTTGCACTTTCTGGATGAAGGGATCTTTCCATTCAAAGACCACAAAAAACAGCTGGGCGCTTTTCTCGGCGGCCGGCCTCTGGTCAATGTAGTTGACCACACTCGTCTGGGAACAGAGGAGAGGAGCTGTCACCGGCCGGGGCCGCGGGAATGGGCAGCATGGCCGGGAGGTCTTGGACCGTGGCTCTCCTCACCCCAATCTCACACATACACACCCTGACACCTCTGGCACCAGAGCCCGGGCCTTCCCGTGGTTTCCACAGTTCTTTGGGGAACGAGTAGGATTTGGGATGTACAGTAGGTGTTTTTGGATTAAATCATATAGGTGTCACTGACTAAATCATATTCAAAGTGTAAGACTCACAAAAGCCATAAAAATCCTAAACTTCAAAATACTCAATCCTAAGAGCTTCGACTCTTCTCAGGGAGAAGGGCCGCCTGGACCCACGTGGCGAGTGCCCCTGTGCACCGTGAGGGGCTGTGCTTGGGGCGATGCGGCTGCCCCTGACTGACGTGGCGTCAGGGAGAGCAGACAGAAGCCCAGCCCAGCCCCAAGGGTCACGCTCAGCATCTGAACCGAGCCTCTTCTCTGCCTTCCTCACTGAGCCCGAGAGGATCCCAGGAAGCACCACACATGAGAGAACTTAAACTTCAAAACCTGATACAGAACATTTAACATTGTGTTCTAGTCCCTGTACCCTGCCAAAGGCTTCCAACAGCGGCTATAATAAAAGCACAGAGGCCACTCTGAAGCCTCTGGCTGATGGGCGGGGCCCCCGGGGAGCCTGGGGGACAGGCTGCACCGCGCTGTGAGGTGGACACACGCAGCTCCTCTCTCAGCTGCGGGGCCCAGACAAGAAGGCCTGGCGTTGGGGAGGAAAGGGGAGCGGAGACTCAGGCTGTGCAAATCTCTTACAAACTGGGAGCCGTACATCCTAAGGCAGGAAAAAGCCTGTGCCCTTGAAGAAACCTGGCTCCTTCCCAAATGCATGCCCTTCCCAAAGCTCCACCGGGCGCAGCCCTCGGAGCCGGCGCGGGAAGGGCCAGACCGGACAAGCGCGAGGCTTCGACCGGAGCGGGTCCCACTCCGACCCAGCGCTTCCCAGCGCTGTCCCTTGGAGGCCAGGCCGATGGGCCGGCTCCGAGGAGGAGCAGGGGTGTGGGCACAGGCTGTCTCCTCGTGGCCTCTGCAGGCTCCAGCCACAGGCACACAGGCGGGGTGTGGGTGGGGGTGGGGGTGGGGGTGGGGGTGGGGGTGGGAGTGGGGTGTAGGAGTGACTCAGGCAAAAGGCAGAGAGCCACTGCCACGGTGGAAGCCCGAAAGAGTTTGTAAAAGAGTTTGAGTCAAACTGACATCATGCCTGGGAGCAATATCTCAAATCCTCCCTCTGTGTGTTTTATCTAATGTCTCTATTTTTCTATGTTTTATAAGGGATGTAGCAATGGGTGTGTGGCCGTGCTTTTGGTGGTCACTGACCAACACCCCTGTCCCACCCTTCGATCCCACTCCCTTTTTCTAAGGCCTCCTGGCTCTCACGGGAGGGGGGGAGGCACAGGGGGGCTGGAGACCCCGTATCTCCTGGCTCCAGGCCCGTGGGGTGGAAGCCTTAGGAACACAGGTTCCATTAGGAAAAATTTCCAAGCATGCACCCAACATACTTGTAACTTTAGAAGTGATGTAACATTAGCATTATTGTTCTACAGCTACATGCATTATAAAACACTAAAAACAGAAAAGTTGGATTAAAAATATAAAAAGAGGATTTGAGATATTACTCCCAGACATGACGTCAATTTGACTCAATCTCTGGACAGCTCCGTTGATTACCGATTCACCAAGGTTTCAGGCTCAATCCAGGGCCAGCGCAAATATAAAAAGCAACCAATGAACAACACATAAATAAGGGGAACAACAAATTGATGTTTCTCTCTCTCTCTCTCTCTCTCTCTCTCTCTCTCTCTCTCTCTCAAATCAATAAATTAAAAAGTTAGCTCTGGCCTGTGTGGCTGTTGGCTGGACCACTGTCCTAGGCACTGAAAGGGTGCAGAATGGATTCCCATTCCGAGGGCGTATCTAGGCTGTAGGTCAATCCCAAGTTGGGGTGCCTACAGAGGCAACCAATCAATGTATGTCTGTCTGTCTGTCTGTCTCTCTCTCTCTCTCTCTCTTGCCCTTTTGCTCTTTAAAATCAACAAAGACATTTTTTTTTGGGGGGGGGGGAATAACTTGTGTAAAAGCAATGTATTTTATAAAACTAAATGATTTTTTTTTTTTAGAAAGCTTGTATTTTACCCCCCGCATCCCGAAGGACCGTCATGCCCATGACACCCGAGAGCCACTGCATCTAGTCTCTCTTCCCTGCAACACCAACCCTCTGGGCGGCCGCCAGCCTCCAGCCTGGGCTTGCTCGGTGGCGTCAGGTGGTCCCTGCACCCACAGGGCTCTCTGCTCCCGTGTTGTGCGGGGACTGGCAGTAACGGAGGGCGAGGCTTGGCATGGGCACTGCCTGCACGGCCCGCTCTCGCCTCAGGCCCCGCACGGAGGCCCCTCCCCGGGCGCTCCCACCCCACTCGGGCTGCAGGACCAGCAGCCTGGCCCACCCAGCGCCACCGACCTCCTGCCGGAACTCCACTGCTTCCCGGCCGTCTTCCTCCTTGGTCTCCACCAGGGACATCTTGACCCAGGTCCGGAAGCCCCCGGAGAACTTCCAGCTGGAGGAGGCGCTCTCACAGGCCTGCATGAAGCCCACCTTGTCTGGGCTGAGGCAGAGGAGAAAGTGCGAGCTCATCAGGCCGGACGAGGGTCAACAAGGCCCCACGCGCTCCAGCCCCGGCTTCAGCTGGTCTCCCGCTGGCATCGCCAGGACTCCCACCCGCCTCCTCCAGGCTCTGCTTCTGGTTGCCAATGGGGAGGGGGGAGGCTGCCCACCTCAGGCTGGGCCGGTCCCCGAGGCCCCGGGGGGAGTAGGCTCCTCAGGGCCTCCGCCCCCCCACCCCTGCCCTGCACCCCCCCACGGGGCTGGGCGAGGCTGGCGTGGACGGAGGAGCTGAAGCACCTGTGCAGGAACTCCTGGAAGGAGGAGAAGAGCAGGTAGTCGATGGCGCTGAAGTCCTCGCTGCTCTGGTTCAGGCGGAACTGGAGGAAGACCAGCTCCCGCTTCTTCACTTCCCGCGGCCCCCGCACGATCAGGGCGGATTTCTGCAGACACAGGCGCAACCTCAGCCTGGAGAGCTGCAGCCAGACTCTGGGGGGGCAGCCGGGAAGCCCAGCGGCCCAGGGGACCCCCTCCGGCTGTGCTGCACGCTCTCCGCACGGCTGGGCAGGGCTGCACTGAGCAGCTCCGCGGGGAAAGGACAGGAACGCCTTCCCCTTCAGCCACTTTCCCGTTAACTCTGCTCACGATGCCATTGGCTCTATGGAGCTTTGAATTTGATGTGAAATTCTGCAAATCTTTTTTTTATTGCTTCTGGGTTTTGTTTGCTAAGGAAAACCAAAATTATATCCCTATTCTCCTATATTTCTTTAAAGTATCTTTTTTTTTTTTTTTTTTTTTTTTTTTTTTTTTTTTTTTTTTTTTTTTACCTTTTTCACTTTTAGTTTTGTGTTGTGGGGTGAAATAGGGATGTGACTCCCTTCCCCACACAATGGAGGTGCAGGTTTGACGGCTGTGGGCTCCCCGCTGTGACCTCGGACTGAGCAGGACGCTGCTCACCCGCAAACCTGGCTGTTTTGTACGTGTCTTCTCATGCACCTTGAACCTAGCTTAAGTCCCATGGAAAACCAACTGGGACTTTTAACTGCTGGTACTGGATTGATGATTAATTTGGGGGAAATATCTTAACATCAGCTTTTATGAAGGCTCTCAGACACTGCCGGGCACCGAGAGACACACGCACTGCGCTTCTCAGTCGCTGCTCTTACTTTCTGTCTCCCCATCTGTGTTTCTGAGGAGTTACACATGCTCTGGGTCCTGGTACCTTTTACTCTAAGAGGTTTTACCTAAAATATACAACTGGGAGGCGGCTTGGCACGTAGCAATAGATGGGTGACGGTTAAATCTTCTCCGTGAAGAGGGGTGGAGTTGAACCCTTATCCGTATTAAACATTCCTCTTTTCGCCTTTTGCACCTGGAATTCCTTTTTAACTGAGGTTACCATTGTCGCTCCACTTCTGGTTATTGCAGCCTTATCCCAAGATTTCTCTCTCTGCCCACTGGCCCCTCAGCCTTTCCGCAGGGTGAGAGGCAGCAGAGGACGCTGACTGTCCTGTTTCCATCATCCGCTTCCCCATCCGCGGCTCCAGCAGAGTCAGCCGCCTGCTGGCCCCACTCCGGCCTCAGACCCGGCCGTGAGACCAAGTTCCTGGAACGTGCACTGACTCGGGCCCCTCAGCGTCTTGCCCTCCACTTCTCACCCCTGGGGCCGGTGTGCACTGGTGCCACGAGCCAGTGCTGACCGCAGGACCGGGACAACGCCCAGGGGTGGCAGCGTGACCGACTCCTGCACAGCGGACGGTCCCCAGAGAAAGACAGACTTCTCTCTGGTCTCAGCACTGTGTGCGTTTGGGCGTCTGCTTTGTGCAGAAGCTTAGCCCAGGCTCTGAGCGCTACGTACATGCTGTCTGAACTGGAGTGCACGGACAGCCACCTGCGACGGAGGCATCAGCTCAACACGCGGGCACTGGGAGCCACAGGCCGTGCCCCCAACTGTGCCAGGGCAACATCAACTAGATTAAACCGAGGGGGAGAGACTAAAAAGTAAACGAGAATCTAAAGACTGACAAGGGAGGACCAGATGAGATCTGGGTCACTTCCACGTGGACGTAACGGCGCGCAAACAGCCAGAAGACCACACGTTTCTCAAGACATCTCACCACAAACGAAGGGGCAGGAGAAAGACAAGCCAACCACCCAGTCGGAGACCGTCCAGCCCCAGCCGCTCCTCCAGCCCGGGGCACTGAAGTCTGGCGGCCGCGAGGAAACACACGGTCCTGCAGACCCTCAAGGCCGTGCCCCAACTGTCCAGCCCACAGCCTCTCTGCAGCAGAAAGTGGGTGCCCAAAGCGGTGGAACTGGGGAGGGCCTGCTTCTGTGCCCACTCCAGCGCCGGCCACAGGGGACCACTGCCAGGCAGACCGCCGGTGCACAGGGCCAGGGGCTGGCGGACACGGGCTCTCGCAGGTCCCACCCCAGGGCCGCATCGCTGCCTCCAGCAGCAGTGCTCCCCTCCTTCCCTCCTGGGCTCCCCCTGCCTCTCTGCCACCTGGGCGGGCGGGGATGTCTCTCAGCAGGATCCCCTGGCTGGCTGTCCTCCAGCGCCCCAGCAGCCTGCTCCGGGGTGGCCACGGCCGGAGGAACGCCCCGCAGCAGGCCTCTCAGCATCTGCTCCAGGCACAGGCTTCTTCCCATCTGTTCGCTCCATCAACCTGACCGGACCTGCTGTTCCTATTCCCTGTTCCTCAAAATGTCTGGTGAGGCCATGATACCCTTTCCTGGTTCACAGGGCTCCTGTGGATATTTTATTTGCTATTTTTTTGCAGGAGTGGGAATCATTTCAGAGGATTTTAGGAGGAAGCCTAGAATAACTATTAACAAAACTCATCCTAAGACCCACTCCCGGCTCCCTACCACCCCGAAGCTTGCTTCTCTCATCCGGCCTGACTCCACCACAGCGGCACCTCCAGCAACACCAACCCCTGCGCCTTCCAGGGACTCAACACTACCCCCTCTGCCGCCCTGGATCTGGGCCAGGGTTCTTCCTCCTAAAAACCTTTCCTTCTCCTCGGCCTGGCTCAATCCTTCCTGAAACATGGACCCGGGAAGAAAAAGGGAAGGGTGCCTTCACACCTCGTGCAGGCGCCACCCCGGACCAGCACTCCTGCTTACATTGGCTTATTTACTTCAAAACACAGATGCCCAGGCCCCGCGCCCTGGAATGATGAATCAGTTGGCCTCACGTGGAATCTGGGAGTGGACATTTTCCAAAGCACCTGGCGGTTTCCCCAAGCAGTCAGGGAGGGGACCCACTCCGCCTGTACACAGGCCCCCTGCAGCCCGTCCTCCCGGCAGGACAGGATCCCAGGGTCTTCTGACCGAGTGCAGGGAGCCAGCCACAGCCACGACCACCTGTCCTCTGCTCAGGGGGCCGAGGGCCCGCACCAGCCCCCGGCAGAAAGAAGATGGGCCCTCGGGTGCGGGGCCGGGAGCAGCTGCCCGCCCGGACTCACCAGGGTCTGGTTGGAGAACGGGTCGGTGTAGTTGATCCTCTGGGTGGTGCAGTTCACGTCTCCAGGCCGGCCCGGGCTCCTCAGCGGCGGGATGACCTCGTAATGGTGCTTACAGCTGAGCAGCTGGGCCTGGCCGGGGTACAGGGCGATCCCTGGGGGCGCAAATGGAAAATGAACGTCAGGAGGTGCAGGCCCTGACCGCACCCTAAAGTCCTGTCTCACCCACCAGCAGCCTAAGTTCAGGATGCAGGGGAGAGAGAAGGAAAAGGCTACAGAGGGAGGGAAGCCACGTCCTCTGCCCTCGGAAAGCCCTCCTCTGATGAGGGCCACAGGCCTCTTCAGGGAGCCCTCCCGCGCTGCGCCTGCACCAGAACGCTGCTGTGCAGCGAGGGGCCTCCTGACGGAGCCTCTCCTGGGACCGCAACCACCGGCGGAGTGAGTGGGGGTTCCGGTGTGGGGCTCCCAGATCTCAGGTCATCACCTGCTCTGCCTGGAGTTCCAGGTGTGCCCTCACCCACCGCCCCTCCAAGGCTCCTCATCCACGGATCTGCTGAGGGTAGCTGCTCCAACCTCAGGGGCAGAGACACAGAGCGGCACACCCACCAGACCCAGCGGACTCAGAGACCAGGAGAGCAGACAGCAGGTAGCGAGCAAAGCCAGGTCAGCTCCCCACTCACCTCTGCTCTGCTGAGCCTCCTCCCAGAAACACTCTCCCCCTGTCAGAGCCCAGCTCAGTCCCTGCCTCTATGCAAACGGCTCCTGGCCCACCCCGTGCTGCAGTGGCCACTCCAGGCTCTGCCTACCTCTCTCCCTGGCACAGGACAGCTCTCTGGGTGTGCACCCTACACCACACTGTGCTCAGACTCCCCCACCCTGCCTGTCGCGCCCAGCACGGGGCCAGGAGTGCAGTGGCAGCTCAGGTTGTATTTGCAAACGGATGCCCCAGACCTGGGCCCTGACACCTGTCCCAGCAGCTCTACCTGGGGCGTCGTAGAGATCCACTTCCTTGTAAGACACGGACATGACGGGGTGCTTGAGCTTCTCGCGGAAGTCTGTGATGGTCTGGTAGACCAGGAAGACGGCCACGGCCATGAGCAGCAGGTAGATGAAGATGAGCAGCACCGAGAAGACGTTCTTCAGGCAGGCCTTGCTGAAGCGGATGCTGCTGGAGGCAGACTCGCTGTCGAGGGCTGAAGGACAACAGCACAGGTGACCCAAAGGGCAGGGACCGTGTGGCTGGGGAAGCCGGCAACCCCCAGGCCCCTGACCTGCTTTAGCAAGTGGGCAAGGTCACTGCACACCCGACCTTTCCAACTCAGCCTCCACCCTGAAGCATAGCCAGAGCACTCTGCTCCCCTAGCTGGCTTCCAACTCGTCCTTCAGGTGCCGGGTTAGAAAGGCATTTCCTCCAGGAAGCCTTCCCTCACCCCCTCACTTTACCTGGGCTCCCCTTCCTCAGTGCTCTCAGGGCACCCATTTGTCCCCCATCATCACTCTGCAGTGCATCAGGCACAAAACAAGGCTTAATAAATTTAATAAGACTGAAATCTTATCAAGCATCTTATCAGATCACAATAGCACAAAACTAGAAATCAATTATAAAAAAAACTAAAACACACATAAATAACATGCTACTACACAACAAATGGGTTAACAATGAGATCAAGGAAGAAATCAAAAGATAACTTGAGATAAATGAAAATGAAAACATAATGGCCAAGAAATCTATAGGCCACAGCCAAAACGATTCATAGGAAGGAGGGAAATTCATAGCAATACTGGCCTACCTCAGGTAACAAGAAAAATCTAATTAAACAATTTAATTTTAAAACTAAAGGAACTAGAAAATGAAGAACAAAGTCTAACGTGAGTGGAAGAAAGAAAATAATAGAGATCACAGTGGAAATAAATGAAAGCTCACAAAACAATAGTAAGGGTAAATGAAATCAGAAACTGGTTCTTTGAAAAAATAAAATTAATGAACCTTTAGTTACTCATTAGAAGAAAAAGGAGAAAAAAAAGGCCCAAATAACTAAAATCAGAAAGAGGTGGATTGACAATCTACATCAGAGAAATACACAGGATTACAAGGAAATACTACAAATAATTATATGTCAACCAACTGGACAACCTGAAAGAAATAGATAAATTTCTAAAAACTGAATAAGGGGGAAACAAAAAATTGAACAGGCCATTAGCTACTAACCGTATCAAATCAGTAACCAAAAAACTCACAACAAGCAAAAGTCCAGGAGCACATGGCTTCACAGGTGATTTTTACCAAACATTTAAAAAAGAATTAATACCTCTCCTGCTCAAACTATTTCAGAAAACTGAGGAGGGAAATACTCCTAAACTCGTTTGAGAAGGCCAGCATTGCCCTGAGAACACCACCAAAGAAAGACACTACAAAAAAAGAAAATTCTAGGCCAATACCCCTGATGAACATAAATACAAATAGTCTTTAACAATATATTAGCAAACTGAATTCATCGTAAGTAAAAAAGATCATATACCACAATGAAGTGGGATTTATTCCCAAGAAACAAGGTTGGTTCGATATCCACAAATCAGTGTGCTACACCACAGAAACAAAATGAAGTATATTCGTCACATGAACATTATCAGTAGATTTAGAAAAAGCATTTGACAAAATTCAACATCCATTTATGATTTAAAAAATGGGACTACATCAAAATAAAGTTTCTGCATAGCAAAGCCATCAACACAACAAAAAGACAACCTACTAAATGGGAGAAGATATTCACTAATGACATATCCAATTGGGGGTTAATATCCAAACTATATAAGGAACTCACACAACTTATCACCAAAAAGACAAACAATCTAATTTTAAAAATGGGCAGAGGACCTAAATAGACATTTCTCCAAAAAAGGTATACAGTCAACAAATACATGAAAAGATACTCAAACATCACTAAGCAGCAGAGAAATACAAGTTAAACCCACAATGAGACATCACTTCATACATGTCAGAATGGCTATCACAGATAAATCACCAAACAATAAGTGTTGGGGAAAATGAGGAGAAAAGGAAACCCCTATGCACTGCTACCGGGATGCAAGTTGGTGCAGCCAGTATAGAAGTTCCTCAAAAAATTAAAAATAGAACTGCCACATGACCCAACAATTCCACTTCTGGTCATTTATCTGAAGAAATCCAAAACACTCATTTGAAAAGATACATGCATTCCCATGTTCACTGCAGAATTACTTACAATAGCCAAGATGTGAAAGAAACTTAAGAAACCAATGATAGACAACTGGATAAAGAAGTGGTATATAACGAAATATTATTCAGCATAGAAAAGAATGAAATTTACACTCTTACAACACACATGGACCTAGAGAGTATTATGCCAAGTGAAATAAATCAGACAGAGAAAGACAAATATCATGTGATTTTATTTACATGTGGAATCTAAAAAACAATAAATGAAGAAACAAGACTCATATAAAGAACAAAATGGGAGGAGTGTGTGAAAAAGGTGAGGGGTTAAGAAGTACAAATCGATAGTTATAAAACAGTCATAGGGAGGTGAAGTGTAGCATAGGAAATACAGACAATAACACTGTGATAACTATGTACAGTGTTAGGTGGGTATTTCACTTACTGGGGGTTCACTTTGTAAGTTATAAATGTCTAACCACTATGCTGTACATGGAAATCAGTATAATATTGAATGTCAATTGTAATTGAAAAAATAAAAAACAAACCAATATTTGGGACAATAGACACTCGTAAAGATGTGTACACCTCTGTTTACTGCAGCATTATTTACAGCAAGAGGCCCAATAAACAAAAATTCATGCACTGCCAGGACCGGTTTGGCTCAGTGGATAGAGCGTCGGCCTGCCATCTGAAAGGTCCCGGGTTCGATTCCGGGCAAGGGCATGTACCTTGGTTGCAGGCACATACCCAGTGGGGGGTGTGCAGGAGGCAGCTGATTGGTGTTTCTCTCTCATCCACGTTTCTAACTCTGTCCCTCTCAATTCCTCTCTGTGTAAAATCAATCAATCAATCAATCAATTCATGCACTGGGGGGAATCCTTCAGCCCAGCCTGCCCCTTCTCAGAGTTCGGGAGCCCTCAGGGGATGTCCTACTGACATCCCTCTGCAGGAGGCAACCTGGCTGATCAGGGGAAGGCACCGCCTCCATCACCCCACTGCTGCTGCCACTGCTGGCCACGGCAGCTGTGAGGCCTGAGCCATGGGGCTCACAGATACCTGAGCCCCTGCCTTTCAGCCACCAGGGCTCACAGCTGCCGTAAGCCAACAGCTGCCTGAGCCCCAGGCCTTGCAGCTGCTGTGGCTTTGTCTGGATGGACATCTGGAAGACATCTGCTCTAATTAGCATGTTACCCTTTTATTAGTACAGATAGTCAATTTCCTTAAATTGCCTTAATGTCCTTCAACAAATAATTAATATATGACACATATATACCATGGACTACTACTCAGTCATTAAAAAAAAAAAAAGTGTTGTCATTTGCAACAACATGAGTGGATCTTGGCCCTGGCTGAATACCTCAGGTAGCTAGAGTGTCATCCTGATACACCAACATTGCAGGTTTGATTCCCAATCCCCAGTCAGAGCACATACAAGAATCAACCAATGAATGCATAAATAAGTGGAACTAAAAATTAATCTCTCTCTCTTCCTCTCTCTCTCTCTCTCTCTCTCTCTCTCTCTCTCTCTCTCTCTCTCTCTCTCTTTACCCTCCTCTTCTTCCCTACTTCTCTCCCTCTCTCTCTCTCAAACCAATAAAATTAAAAAATTTAAGACATTCACACATGGATGGATCTTGAGAGTTTTATGCTAAGTGAAATAACTCAGAAGGAAAAGGACACAAACTGCATGATTCCACTCCTATGTGAAATATAAAAACAAAAAGGAAACATGCAAAGAAAAAAGCAAACTCACAGACGCAGACAACAGAATGGTGGTGACCAGAAGGGCAGGGAGTTGAGTGAGGACAAGAGTAAAGAAGGTGAATTAATTACGTGGTGACTTCCAGAGGCAAACATGCAATACTGTATACAGATGTCATACTATCAAGTTGTACACCTGGGATTTATATAACCAATGTTATCTCAATAAATTTAACTTGAAATATAAGCTTTAAAAACCAAGATATTAAAATATTTGTCATAATTATTTCATATTACTTTATTAAAAAGCACAAGAGCAGAATCAGCACAGAACTACTGACGTGTCCTAGGTTGGTGGAGACAAGGAAATTGTCCATTCTATAGTCCTACCAACATGCATTGCGCACCAACTCTATATGCAAGACACTGAGCTAGGCGCTTTGGGGAGACACCGAGAGACCAGGACTGGTGGTCTGTGCTACAACTGCTACAGAATTCTGAAGGATGTGAAGATGTGAAAGGAGAGGCTTCCTTTTCTCAGAAGAAGGAATGGAGAACGTGTGGAGAAAGGCAGAGGTCAGCAAAGGCTTGGGAGGAGGTCACATGGCACAGTCCTAACGCATCAGGAGGACATGGAGGAAGAAGTGATGTGGGTGTTCATTACTCACTAATGTTCTGAACGGGAAGACCAGAAATCTAGCCCCGTGGGTAAAACCATGAGATGTAGCCCTAGCTGGCTTGGCTCAATGGATAGTGTTGGCCTGCACACTGAAGGGTCCCGGGCTCGATTCTGGTCAAGGGCACATGCCCAGGTTGTGGGCTTGATCCCAGTAGGGAGCCTGCAGGAGGCAGCCGATCAATGATTCTCTCTTTCCTCTCCCTTCCTCTCTGATATCAATAAAAATATATATTTTTTAAAAACAACACACACACCAGAGTGATTTGGGTCCCAGCTCTGCTACCAACTATTCTGTGATCCCAGGATAAGTTATTTAATGCTCCTAAGCCTCACTTCTTCATGTGAAAGGAAATAATCATTTCAATGTTACAGGATGCCTTAGAGAAGTAGATAAGAGAATGTTGCAAAATGCATTACAGTACAGAGTGCCTGCTCATTGGATTAGTTATTGAAAAAACAGAAAGAACCTTCTATACCATAAAAGAAGAAGCCCTCAATGATGAAGCTAGCACAAATGAAGACCATGCACTACAACCTCTTAATAATAAAGAATTAGGAAAAAAATAGCGAGAAAAAAATAAAATGGAGGTGGGGCAGAATACAGTCTTTCACACAGA